ATTTTTGGTGACTCAACTTGAATTTGGTTTTTAATGGGTGCACATGTTTTGGAACTGGGAAGTGAGAAACATTTCCAGAAGAGGGTGGTGTACTGGTGTTTGTTTAGGCTGGGAGTGTGTGAGAACTCTGGGGCATTTTTCTATTTTATTGTGCAAGGAAAGAAGGTTGCTAAGTAGGATTGGTTTTCATTCATGTCAACAAAAGGTATGCAGAAATACGGATTCGTTACTCTAATTTGCTACTAAATGAAAAGCAGATTTGGTTTTATTCATGTCACTATAAAAACTAAGTAATAAGTATTCACACCAAGCATGGATCATTTTTTTTTGCCAGCAAAAATTAAAACATCAATGAAACCTCTTTCAAATACTAACAAATTTACTTACAAACACCTATATTTATTATTTCATAAATAGGCGCAACAAGTTCCATAAAAAAAAAAGATTAAATACAGACATGGTATGAGGAAACAATAGTAGAGAGCCGTAAAGATGATCACTTAGCGCTTTCCAACCTGGTTCTGCAGCTAAGATACCGGGTGGACTTTTGGCAGCTTTATACATAAAAGGACTTCGATAGATGACATTTACTAACCATTACACAAAAGTGATACAAAAAAGGATTTTTTCCTGCAATACAAAATAAATGTGTTTGCGCTTCCCTTCACACTAGGTTCTTTTTGTCTGATCAATAAGACAAAGCCAATTTGTTTTTAAATTAAAATCATTTGGGAATATTTTTCAAGTATTTTGAAAATATAGAACTATTAGTCAGTTGTTTTTAAAAATGAAGTAAAAATATGAATGTTTGCCAATTTAACCCCTCTGTGAAATAAACAAACTGGGGTGAGCCAGTTTCAAATTACAATTTAGCTACAAAAACATTCACATTTTATACTCTAGGAGAGTGTAACATAGATGCTATTTACAAACTTGCTATGACTGCTACATCAAGCCATTGAAAAAGTCTTTAGTAGTTTCATATAAACACCCATTATGAAAACCAATGGAAAACCCAGGACCATTATTACCCCAGACATCTACCGTTGCTAAGGCAGTTACTAGAGCGCAGCACTTCACAGCAAAACCAACAGAAATCAGAATGGTCCATACTTCCTTCAGGGAAGAGGAACAATGTCCATAAAAGATTAAAAAAATAATAACGAAGCATGACTATTTCTTCCAGAGTGGGTGACCCACAAGCTCACATGGTCCTAAGTGCTTAGCAACTTGTATTTTCTAATAAAATGAAGGACTGCCTTGAGTGCACAAAGCAATCCATGATGAAAAGACTTCCCTGAATTCCTCAGTGGAAAGGAGAGGTGTTGAGATTTTCAGGTGAGGTACAGTGCTTTGTCCCTCTGCATACCCCTGTGTGGAGAGAAAACATAGTTAACAAGGAAATC